GTCGATTTGGTGTGCTGAGGTCGATCGTTATGGATAATGGGACTAATCTTAATAGCAAGCAGGTGAAGGAGTTGCTGGAGGAGTATGGAATCAATCAAAAGTTAGCAATAGTCAGCCATCTATAGGCAAATGGTCAGGCTGAGATCACGAACAGAACGATATTTGCTTGCATAAAAAAAGAAGCTTGAAGAAGAAAAGGGGAAGTGGTTGGATGAACTCCCGAACGTCCTGTGGGCGTATAGAACAACTCCGAGACGATCGATCGGAGAAAGCCTATTCGCCATGGTATATGGTACTGAGGCAGTAATACTAGTTGAGCACCAAGTTCCCACTGTTCGAAGCTTAGCGTGGAATCAAGAGCAGAATGATCACATGTTAAAATTCAACCTCAACCTGCTTGAAAAGAAGAAGAATGCAGCAGCAATAAGGCTCGCGTCATACCAGCAGACACTTATGAATAGTCACAACAGAAAGGTGAGACATAGGGACTTTGCACCTGGTGATTTGGTTCTGAAAAAAAAGTTGGAATGATCAAGAAAATGGTGTCACCGTTGGAATGACCGTATAGAGTTGCAAAAGTTATAGGAAATGGGGCATATGTACTGGAGACCATGGCTGGAAGGCTGGTAAATAAGCCATGGAACGCCACATCTTTGAAAAGGTATTACCAGTAGGAAATTGAGGAGTGAGTTTTAACCTGGTTAGTGTTTATTTCCAATTGCGTGCTTACAAGTGTATAAAACTTCAAAAGATCTATAAAAAGTGCTATTTTCTTCCAAAAGGATGACCAAGCGTTAAACAATTAAGCAAAGTAAGTGGCAGCTGGCACTATGAGCCGATCGCCAAACATTTGCTAAAAATAAAAAACCAAATGGCAAGTGGCATTCAACCGAGCGCTAGGCACTTAGTGAAGTAAGTGGCAGCTGGCACTATGAGCCGAACGCCAAACACTTACTGAAAATAAAAAGCCAAGTGGCATTCAGCCGAGCGCCAGGCACTTAGTGAAGTAAATGGTAGCTGGAACTATGAACCGAACGCCAAACACTTGCTAAAAATAAAAAAACCAAGTAGCAAGTGGCATTCAGCCAAAAGCCGGGCACTTAGTGAAGTAAGTGGTAGCTGACACTATGAGCCGAACGCCAAACACTTGCTAAAAATAAAAAGCCAAGTAGCAAGTGGCATTCAGCCGAGCGCCAAGCACTTAGTGAAGTAAGTGGCAGCTGGCACTATGAGCCGAACGCCAAACACTTGCTAAAAATAAAAAGCCAAGTGGCATTCAGCCGAGCGCCAGACACTTAGTGAAATAAGTGGCAGCTGGCACTATAAGCCGAACGCCAAACACTTGCTAAAAATAAGGGCAAGTGGCATTCAGCCGAGCGCCAGGCACTTTAACCGAATGCCAAACACTTGTGATAAATGATAAATGATAACTTAGAAGCAACGATGAAGAAAGTAATATGAGACATGAATTAGTCAAAAAATCTTCCATTCCATTAAATTCATACCCCTAAAACATTTACAAAGATAGTTCTGGTGGAATAAGTAGAGTATACAAAGGAAGATGATATATTTGCAGGTAACTATTCAGTCCTGTTTACACCCTCGGTCTCTTGCTCACGCTCGGCGTTCCCCTCACCTTCATTGACTGTACTCTCCTCTTGGGGGGGAGAGTCAAGTTGGATGATCTTTCCATCCAGCTGGGTTCCGCCCTGAGCAATAGGCCCGAGAGGAACCATGGTGGAGAGAGGAGGAATATCCAAGGGTTGAACGGCTGAAGGAACAGGAATAACACCTGAAGAAGCAATCTTCTGGCACTCATCAAAAATACGCTCCGTAGGAGTGGAATCCGGATCAGCATAAATTCTGGGGGGATCGATCTCTAGTTCCTTGTCGATATCATCTGGATTGGCACCTGAATTGGTCTGACCTTTGGCAAGAAGACGGTCACTGTAGCCCTCCCTGTACCCCTCAGCATACCCGAGGGCTCCGATCCTGGATAAGCGACCATGCAGAGCTGTCACTCTGCTGTTAACCTTGCCGATGACGCCGAGCAAGGCATTGCGCTCATCTAGAGCCCTCTTCTCAAAGGCCATGCACTCTGCCTATTCGTCATGAAGCAAGCGCTGAAGGTTGTCTCTTTTAGCCTTACGAGATTCACGTTCGGTCTACCAGACACTCTTCTCAATCCGAAGGGCGTCCCTCTCATCTTGAAGGGAGTCCGCTTCCTTCTTCAGACTATCCCTTTCATTCTCAGCCTTATTCAGCTGCACCATCAATTCAGCATTATTGATGCCAATGATATTATTCTCCTTGGTGGCTGCGTCAAGGTTGTTGGCAAATTTGCACACCTTAGCATTGGTAGCCTCAACATGTTTTTGCATGGCCATCATGCCAAATAGAGTCTGCAAAATAATACATGAGTACTAATTAAGCCGAACGTATGTCAAGAGGAATTGTAATATAAAGACATTTTTGAATGTAATCAGGAGGAGGGTAGGGAATTACCTCCATTGCAGCCAGAGGAAAGCGGCTGAAGACTTCCTTTTTAGACAAAGATTTGGCAACCTCAATGTCTTTGGGAGACCACATGTTCTTGTAATAGGCCATAGCGGTTGGGCCTTCTCTAAACATGGTTTCGCTCGGCCTCATAACCGAGCCATCAACAAGGACGAATCTGGGGTCCACGGAGCCTATCCAGAGGGGGAAGCGGTGGTTGTGCTGGACCCAGAAGGAGCAGTTGGTCTAACCTGAGGAGGGATAGGCAAGCCCGGCCCAGAAGTTCGAATCCTCCTTGCTAGAGGAACATCATTAGGGTTGCCTTCACTCTCAGGCTGAGGCCTCTTTCCTCGCTCCTTATCCTGAACGGATGCAGTGGGGGTAGAGGTATTCTGAACTTGAGGAACAACGTTCGGGTTGGCAGGTGGAACGGTGATGATCGGGCTGACGGTCACCACATTCGGAGTGGTGCTGGAGGTAGTGACAGATGAAGATGTCGAGGCTGGAGAAGAAGAAGTTACGGAAGCAGCAACGACCCTGGGAGGATCCTTCTTCCTGCTGAAGGAAAGAATCCGAAGCTGACTCATAGTGGTGCCAAAGAGTGAAGTATCTCTAAGATTCTCGGACGTGAGGAGTTCCGAACAAGAAGGGATGTCGTTCAGAACGTGGTCCTTTAGATAAGTGAATCTATCCCCGCAAATGTTGAAACTGAGTTCATTATCTTACGGGATACCCAAAGAATTGCAAAGAAACGAACAGAAGCGAGGGATACAAGTTTCACAAGGGCAGTCCGTTTTATGGGTTTTGAATTTCTTGTAAGAGGATACGGAGCATTCGCCAAAGACGTTCGTGATAGGGTAGTCCTTGGCAGCCGGAGCGAACCAAGCCCCCTGAACCCCAACAATGCCCTTCTTCCACCCTTTCTCAAACTTAAGTTTGTCCGTACAGATGGATTTCTTCTCAATAGGATAAAAGTGGTAATATACGTCCTCCAACTTGATCTTACTAACCTTGTAACAAAGGAGAAGGTCAACTAAGTCAAGATCTAGGCCTCTGTCATGGTTCAGAAGCAGCAGAACGGATAGAACCCTAAGAAAATTAGGGTTAACTTGGAGAGGAGAAAGATTTAGCCTATTGAACACATAACAGAAAAAAGGGTGTAGAGGAAATCTAATAATGTTGAGATGGTGAAAGGAAAACAAGGTTTCACCGGGAAGAAGGCCGGCACCAGTTTTAATATTTTCATTTTTGGGGCATTCCCTAAGATGAATATCGGAAGGAAGATGGAGTTTCATGCGAAGAACATCCAAATCTATAGGCATGGTGAAAACGACTACGATCCTTGGGGAAATATGCAAAGATTTAAAGAAAAAGAAAGAAGTGAAACTAACCTTGAGAGGATGGAGAACTGCAAATGATGTTGCAAGGAAATTGAAGATGAAGAACCTTTCACAAGATTCCCCGGAGAAGATTTGGTTTTTTCCATAGAAGATTCGATTTGCCTGCAGAGAATGGATTGTGAATGGATTGGCAGCGAGATATGATAGGTGTGACAAGGAAGGCTGTAAGTGTGAAGGAACAGTATATATAGAGAAAGTGGTCCCATTAACCGAAACGTCAGGAAGTTAAAGAAATTCGAATTTCAAAAACGTTGATTCTGAGGCCGACCGTTCGATGCCCCCACGTGATTGCCTAAAGCCATCAAGTCATCATTAGTTCAGTAAATAATCACACCCTAATTAATGCGGGAGTGATTATCGAGCAGTTGAGGATACCAACAGCGGCATGGGCCGGATCCAACTCGCATGATGAAGAATGGGCCTGGTAATTGACTTGGGCTCGAACCAAGCTTTCATAAGACAGGCCCAATGCTGAAGAGTGAAGCTGAAAGCCCCGGAAGATGATCAGGCCCATTATTGTAAAAGCCTCATGGATGAGCCCAATGGAAGAAGTTAGGTAGGGATCTTCTACGAAACTGTAAATAGCTTATAAATGAAGGGAAAAAGAGTGTAAAAGGGGAGAAAATTTTCTTGAAGTGTAACGAAACTTTGTCAAAATAGAGAGAAAAAATTCTTGCATCTTCATACATACACAGAGGTTGAAGATGGTCCAAAGAGATATCAAGAAAATAACACCTTCCGTCGATTCAAATCCACTGTTTGCTACCATTAAGAAATGGATAGGATTTTCAGATTTTGATTGGCCGGGTATTGCATGTACCGGTATAGTATTAAATATATATATTAGTTGGCAACGAAAAAAAGAAAAGAAAAAGTACCTAGTTGGCAATCCACGTGGCACCAATTTCTTAATCTAAACCGTTCGATACTCTTACTAAAAAACCGCCGGCAGCGATTAATCAAATACTCTTGTTTGGATGCAAAATGAGTGTGGCGACTCGAGAACGCTCGTGGCGGCAAAACGTGAGCTTCCACGTCGGACCCAACTTGTTGGAACCAATGAGAATCACCCACACGGAATGACAGTTAAATCCAAAGCATAAATACACCTACGTTGTACCTACCTTATACACACAAGAAACCTTTGGCAGTGCTAAATTTGATCTATTCACACTACGAATTCGCGTTTGTTTGAAGCATTCAATTCTCGAACCCTAAAGCTATGGCGGTCTCGGGCATGGTTTTCCAGCCTATTCCGAGCTTTTTCGGCGTCAGAATCAGTACCCACTCTCCCTCCTCTTCAAAAGCCTCTTTTTCCGGCGTGTCAGTCAATGCCGGAGCTCGGTTGTCCGGCTGTCTCCGGCTCGTGGGTCGTGAAAACTCTAGGGTTTACACAAAACCCAAAACTTTTTCTGGGTTTTTAGATTCTGGATTCTGGGATTGTAATGATCATGTACAGTACTATTATAACTATGGATCTTGGTCGACGATCAGGTGTCGTTGTGGAAAGAGAGAGAAGGAAAAGAGGATTTCCGGTATGGTGGCCACGAAGAAGATGAAGTTTCTTAAGAGATTGTCAAGTGACTTGTCTATGTTCTCAGAGATGGGTTGTGGGTTGGGTTCAGAGCATGGTTCTATAGATGAAGACAAGGAAAAGAAGATGATATTGGTAAGCATTATATTTTCTTAATTAATTAATTGTATTTTTTCTTTTCTTTATTTATTGATTAACTATGCTAGACATATGATTTATATCAAATATTGGTTAATTGTTTCATCTTACCAAAAAATAATAATAAGATAAATTCATGCACAAGGCTCCCATTATTGCAATGTCTTAAAGGTTAAATATACATGGTCTTACTTCGAGTGTTTTCGAACCAATGAAAAAACTAAATTTTGTAGATATATTGAAAAAATATTTTATAGGGTAAAATGTAAAACTAGTTCCCTTTTGCAAATAACCCTTTAAACTATTGATTTGTTGCAATTAAGGTCAAACCAATCACAAAAGATTATTTTACTTTTTCTCATTAAAATTTTCATTTCTTATTAAATTATTTTTACTGTCATTTCTCTTATATAAATATTAATTATACTATTTACCTTAATTTTATTACAGTTTCAATTTATCATAAATATGAAAAAAAAAAAAAAAAAGATAAATAGATTTGTAACTACCCATTTCTAATTTGATTAACTTATTATTAAAACTTTATTAGTTGCAATAAAACTTATTATAACCAATTTAAACATTTTTATTATTAAAACTTTATTATTTGTAATAAAACTTATTATAACCAATTTAAACATTTTTATTGTAAAAAATTATCTTATTTTTCATACAATATATTGATGAAAAATTAATAAAATACTTTTATAAAAATACCTTCTTTTCATGTAATATATTCATTAAAAATGTAAAAATTAATTTTTTTTAAAAAAAAATTTACAAAAAATTTTTATTTAAATAATTAATTTCAAAAATTAAAGGTCAAGTTATGCAAATTTAATGGAGAATATGTCATCAAATTAATTTTTTTTTTTTCATAATTTATTTAGATAAGAAAAATATATTAAATGTAATTCAATAAGAAGGGGCATTATGGTCATTTAATGACATATAGTATAGACATTGGGATATGTTGCAACAAAATGTGATAGTTTAGAGGGTTTTATGCACAAAATATAATTCAGGGGGGTTATTTGCAAATTCAAACATAGTTCGGAGGGTTTTTTGCACTTTACCCTATTTATATTAGACCTTTTCCAATATCAGGGTAATATTAGTTAAATTTGTTTCATATTTCAATATAATTTAGTTTCTCGCTTGGGAAGAGTTCTTCAATTTACCATGCCAGTTAGTATTGCATTTACTTGATGGAGTACTCAATATATATATATATTGAAATGAAGCCATGTTTATGTCTTTGATCAATTTTCTTCTACTTTTTTGGGTTATCTCCTCAAGTTCTTACTTCCTATTACAGAGACAATTAAAGTTATCCATCAGTTTTTTCTTTAAATAAAACTCTTTGAATTCTTTGATCATTGAGCATTGTATTTATCTCGGCAACATTACATTGTGTGCAGGAAGCGGCAGAGATACTGCTCGAAAAACTGCAGCAGCTAAGGGCAAATGAGAAGGAATTGAAGAGGAAGAAGAAAGAAGAGAAATCCAGGTTGAAAACTGCGAAAATGCAAAACAGGCTACGAGTATCATCTGATTCTTCTTCATCGGATTCTTCTTCCAAATCAAGCGACAGCGAGTGTGATGAAGAGGTGGTTGACATAAGCCGCCTTCAAAATCCATCCCTTGCACAACCAATTCTAAATGAACTACTACAACCAGTCACTCAGGAAGCAACTTCCACGCTTCCAAACACACCGATCCAAGAAGGGAACACCACTGAGGAAAGGGGTTTTGAAGTTCGCGATTCACAGAGTCATGACCAAGAATGCTGCACCGGAACTAGCACCAGTTGTAGCAACGAGGGTAGTACACGAGCATCATCGACGAAAATTGAGGTCTGCATGGGTGGGAAGTGCAGGAAGTCGGGGGCCGCAGCGTTGCTGGAGAAGTTCCAGAGGGCGCTTGGCGTTGAAGGTGCTGTTGCTGGATGCAAGTGCATGGGCAAGTGCAGAAATGGTCCTAATGTAAGGGTTTTGAATCGCGCTGGCAGGGTTCAAGGACAGGGCATAGACGATTCAGTTAGGGCTCAAACTAATCCTCTGTGCACTGGGGTTGCTCTTGAGGATATGGACTCAATTTTGTCCAAATACTTCGGAGAAACGCATAAGGATTATGGTAGTATGGCCACTGCATCTTAGAAGGATTTGCAGTTTACCACTTGAGTGGTGGATTTAGTTTTGACTTTGTAATTGATGCTACTACTAGTATTTACTCTGCAAATGTAAATCACTCGTATTGATAATATAATCATACACAATTTTGTGACAAAAAACGGATAATCACAAGTCGAGTATACAATGTCACACTACAATGGCTACATAGGTTTAAACCACCACATGATATATTCATCCATCAGGAAACAGCAAAATTCAGAATGATTAACAACTCAGCCCCAAAACTGAAGAAAACCCCGAGAGGGTACAATGCCTTTGGCACAGTAAATTTGTGAGATTGAATCTATTAATGCGCTCACATCGTTACAAGGATAACTTTCCAGATACATGTGCCTATACATATCTACATGCGCATACATTACAATTCGGAATATTCAGTGGCTCAATGCCTAGGGTATTTAAGATTGGGCCGATGTTCGGAGTTGTCCAAGTTGTTGCAACGCTTCATGAAAGAGTCGAGTGTTCTCTGTTTTGCGGGGCTCTGTTTTGCGGGGCTGCTTCTTGGCTGGCCAGTTGAAACTTCCAATGTGTTCTCGTGGCCGTCGAGCATCTAGAAATTCATTGACCACTATTTAGTTTAAAACCCACAAGGGAGAGAATGGACCAGGCCCCTAAAAATCAGATGTATGTAACGCCAATGCCACTAACAAGAAATTTCTTAAAAGAATGAGAGGATTCTAAACCAAACCATGTGCCTACATGTGTATGTAAAATGGTAATGAAGATGAAATGATGAGATAAAATGAAACAATTTCAGAGAAGCTCCCACAGAAATTCAAAATGAAGATGAAAATTAGAGAGGGGAGAGAGAAACCTGTCCCAAATTTTCCAACTTGCTTTGAACAACATCCCTGGATAGGGAAATAAGACACAGAAGTTACTGATCATCATCATCAACATGCTAATCAAGCCTTGTTTTGCAATTAATGGTCAACTAGTAAGTATTCTATAAATGAAGACAATATTCCAAATTAGATATGAACAATACCAAATAATGTCATCAACCGTGTCGTTTGCTAGCAGGTAGTATACATTGACTGATGAGACCTGGAAAATATATATATATATTAAATAAATAACTCAGAGAATTTGGAGCACTTAAATATTCATGCGTGAAATTTAGAACAACTACAGGCAATAAATTTTACATTTCAAGCCATTAATAAACAAAGCAAACTGCAATACTTAAAGAATATCTTTAATTTAAGATGGCCTTAATATCCCTCAACATAAGAAGGTAAACGTAATGTCATTACTCATCACATGTAGATAAAATTCACCATAACATTGAGGCATTCAATTAAATAATTAAAAAAGAACACAAATAAGAAGCTAGAACCAAAGTAGAAGAATAATGATACACTTGAGAAGCATCAACGGAAAGCAATGCCAAAAATTCCAGTTCTAGGTATTCAAATGGGAATGTAACTCACAGATGATACGGTGTCAAACAAGAGGTTTTAGTGACCACTATAAGAATTTTAATGTAATTGATAAATTTAAATAAAGAGATAATTTTTTCCTGAATGCCAGAAGCTCATATAATTCTTGCTATAGCTTACCTGGCCAATCCTATGAGCACGATCTTCTGCCTGAATCAAGTCACCAGGAGTCCAAGACAACTCTGCAAAAATGACTGTGCTCGCAGCTGTCAAAGTTAAACCAACACCTCCAGCTTTGATAGAGAGCTGCAAAAAGAAGGCAAAACATAGATCATAGATAAATCCACGCAAATAGTGAAAATTTTTATTTCTAAAAGAACATAGCAAGAATAATGAGGGAGCAAAAATCAATAAAGCAAATTGTATTACCACAGCTGCCTTGATGGCATCTTTTTCCTGAAAATCTGAAACCAAAGCTTGCCTTGATGCTGCTGGTGTACCGCCATCAATTCGGATGCAACCAATTTTTTTCTTCTGAAATTTGGCAGTGCTGATTATGAATCAGTTTTAAAAAATAAAAATAAAAACCCTGAAAATTAAATAGAACCTGCAGAAATTGGTATATCGACTCAATCATGGGTTGATGGTGTGCAAATATTAGAAACTTGCAGCCTGCCTGAAACAAGTAGAATAAAACAAGGTCAGCATTAAATATGCAAACCAAAAAAATTGGAAATACAACTACATAGCCTATAAAAAATCACTGAATGTTAACCTTCAATCCCTCAATTGTTCAAGTCTAGGACATGTTAAATATGCCTCTAGACTCTAGTAGTGTCCGAGAAATTGACAATAAATGGCATATGCAAATAAATCTGAAACGAATATGATATGCAAGAATTCATGTTACTTAAGCAAATAATAAGTGGTCTACTAAAGAACTTGTCGATAATGTGCTCTAAATAAATAAATAAAGGTTTACTGGAGATATAGAGCATAAGTGATCACACTTGTCTAATTTAACGAAGGACTATAACTGACAATTTGAGAAGATTATACCACAACAACAAGGCTTTTCCCAACTACTTGGGGCCGTCCATTCCGCTCTATCTAAGGCCATAGCCTCAGTCAAACCACATGCTATAATATCCTTCTTTACTAACTCTATCTACGTTAACTTCGGTCTCCCTCTTTCCTAAGTATTACCCAATGTAGACTGTCACTCTTCCTAATTGATGTGTTTAAAGGTCTTCTTTACACATGTCCTAACCATTTTAACCGATTTTCTCTCATTTTATCTCCCAATTTGTGCTACTCCAACCATCTCCCAAATGTGGTCATTTCTAATTCTATCGTTTCAAGTCTTACCACAAGTTCATTTCAACATTTGCATTTCCGCCACACTCAATTTTGAGATGGATTTGTTGTAAGACTAGAATTTGAGAACATTATACTCCTTGAAATTTGGCAGCATACAACTTGGTCAAATTTAGAGAGTGAGGCATGCATTCATGACATGTCAAACAAAAATAGCAAAAAATACTTGGTGTAACCTTTAGCATGAATATAATCAGGATAAAATAAGCAGAATGCTATGACCACACAACCACGTATTGTGCCTGTTAGCATATATGATAGCCACGATTTATGGAATGACTTACCGTATTAGTAGTGATTTGATTTAGATTTTATTTTATTTTCTTTCTTGTAATATGAGCATGTACTCTTTTTTATCTATAAGTACTAGAGTTGTGAATGAGTGATTCATCTCATTCAAGCCTTTACACAATTCTCTCATTTTCTTCTTTTATATTTCTTCTTGGTATCAGAGCCAACACCTTTCCACACCTTTCAGCAACCCTGATACTTGTGCAACAGCCATCTTAGGTTATTTGTGGCATCGTGTGACGTTGCCTACACATGTTTTTCTGTGTGGCTGTTTTGTGATCGAAAACAGGTATTTTTAAGTTTTACATTTTATTTTTTATTTTTCTATGATTGGGTAAATTGGGATAGTTAGTCTCCAACACCTAAAAGGGCTTAGGTAAATTTTTTTAAGTCTATAGAGGTTCTGGATATTAATAATGAGGTTGTCTGGCTATATGTAAGTGGGCAACACTCCTTAAAAAAGTTTGTATTTGGACTTTTCGGGAATGATCTAAGGAGACATTGCTATTGGTTATGGTCTGAGGGCACTTTTTAATTTATTAACATAATTTGTGGTGTTTTTGTAATTGTTTATTGTCGTGTGACAGATTTAGGATCCTCGACAGTTAATTCTCTTGGCTCAAGTTCTGTGGGTGGTGGTGCCATTTTTCCCACCAACTCATCAGAAAATCCAGGACTTCAAATCACCACAATGAAGTTGGATGGCTCCAACTATTTGATTTTGGCACAGTCGACCAAGATGTTCATTGGTGGTAAAGGCAAGATTGGCTATATTACTAGTTCTGAGAAAGAACCAGCTGAGTTAGAGAAGGCATATCCACAGTGGTTTGCAAATAATGCTATAGTTATGTTATGTCTTGGCTAGTCAATTCAATGCAACCAAACATAGCCGTTGGCTATATGTTTATGAAAATTGCTAAGCAGATTTGGGATTTAGTTCAACACACTTATTCTCACAGGCAGAATAATGCACGGATTTTCTACTTATGGCGAGACATCACCAAGATTTCTCAGGGTGACTTAACAGTTTCAGGTTACATCGCCAAGCTTCGTGCTATTTGGGAAGAGATGTCATATTATGATTCCTTCAACTCTTGGAAGGATTCAGATGATGCACTTTTATATGCAGGGATTGTGGAGAAGAATCGAGTGTTTCAGTTTCTTGCCAGGTTGAACGACGAGTTCGAGTATGCTTGTGTTCATTTATTGGGCTTATCTTCATTCCCTACTCTTATGGATGCATACTCCTATGTGTTGTCAGATGCAAGCCGTCGGACTCATCCATTAGGTGTTGCTTCTGTTGATCGTTTTGCTATAGCAATTCAGGTTCCCAACCTTTCAGGAACTGCACCATCCCAGTCAGTTCATAGTTCTACCATCGGTCCTCCTCTAGGATGACAACGTGGGAGATGTGACCATTGTGAAAAAATTGGTCACATCAAATCTCATTGTTATGCACTACATGAACGCCCACCGCAACAGAAACAACAGCCTCGATCCTTTGCACATTCTATTACACAACCAATCTCATTTTCAACTCCTGACAAATCTGCCTCTACATCTTCTACCACAGTTAGCTTAACTCAAGCAGATTTAGACAAATTCAAACAATTCTTCAATCAAATGGAGGCATCATCTCAGCCAACCTCCACTTATGCCCATTCGGGTTCTATTGCGTCTGCACATAGGGTATCTACATCTTCAACACCATGGATCATTGATTCTGGTGCTTCAGACAATGTGACTAATATGTCCTCATTCTTCCAATCTTATGGTATCTGTTCTCGCCATCGCAAGGTATGCCTTGCGGATGGCTCTCCATCTTCCATTGTTAGGAAGGGTCACATATCAGTTACTCCTTCATTAACTTTGTCAGATACATTTCATGTTTCACAGTTGACTACAAATCTTATTTCAGTTAGTAGCGTTACTAAACAATTAAATTGCAGTGTAACGTTCTTCCCTCTCACTGTATTTTTCAGCATCTGGTGTCGAAATAGACGATTGGCAGTGGGTGTGAAGTGGATGGCATATATCTGTTGGATGCTCCTTTGTCACCTCAAGCACATTCAGTTTCATTATCTAATTTTGTTTCATCTAATAAAGCTCAGCTTATGCATTGGCATATGCATTTAGGACATATTTAAAACATTTGTTTCCTTCTTTATTTTGTAACGTGGCAGTCTCAGAAACATGTTCGTTCCAATTATCCTGCTAGTAGTAATAAATCTGCTTTAACACCTTTTGATCTTGTTCATTCAAATTTTTGGGGCCCTTTCCCAGTTACTTCTAGCCTTGGATTTTGATATTTTGTGTTGTTCATTGATGATCATAGCCGTGTTACATGGGTTTATTTTATAAAAACAAAAAATGAGGTGTACACCATTTTTAAAAAATTTATGACAATGGTTCAGACTCAATATGGTCATACCATTAAAAAATTCAGATCTGACCAAGGTACGGAGTACACTTATGGGGAGGTACAGCGGTTATGTACAGGATTTGGGATTGAGCATCAAATGTCTAATGTTAAAACCCCTCAACAGAATGGCCGTTCTGAGAGAAAGAATCGCCGCATCCTTGACTTAGCCAGAGCAATCTGCATTGGCATGAATGTTCCCCAGTCATTTTGGGGAGATGCAGTTCTTACAATTGTCTATATCATTAATAGAACTCCTTTTAGGGCCCCACTCTCAATCTTACATCCCAATTCATCTCTTTTTTTTATTCCCCCGCGAGTCTTCCGGTGTGTGTGCTTTCGTTCAGCAGTTAGGGCAAGCTCGTACAAAGCTTGAGCCCAAGGCTTTGACATGTGTGTATTTGGGCTATTTTTACTCCCAAAAAGGTTATAGGTGTTACCATCCTCCCAGTCGTCGGCGGTTTATATCCATGGCTGTTTCTTTCTTTGAGCATACACCATGCTATAGTTGTTCAGTTGGTTCTTAAAGTGAATGGTTCCCATTATTTACAATTGACGATCACCTTCTTCTGTCTTCAACTCTTCTACCTTTGCTTATTTCGTCTTCTATTATTCCCTCTCGTGATAATACCCCTCCAGCAAGGGAAATTGTTCCTTTTCCACAGGTTTATAGTTGGAGACAACAGGTACAAGCTTCTACTCTCACGATCGACTACCTTGTTCCTTTGGCACTAGCTCTGCCTTCTCAAGCTATTGTTCCGCTTGATGATCGCCCCATTGCTCTTCGGAAGAATAAACGTTCTTGTACTTACCCTATTTCTAATTTTTTTTTTTTTTTTTTTGATAAGTAAAATAAGATTGAAGAACCGCTCAAAAGGGGAGCGAAACCCAAGTACAAAAAACAGGCCAAAGTGCCTCAAGCCTTCAAAGAGGCCAAAAAGACAACCAATTCCTCAACAGACTGAAAATCCCTCCCTAAAACCCAACAAAAAAGAGTGGAAAGAATAGAGATCTTAAGCATAGAGATAGGTTTTTCCTTTCTGATTGTTCTCTCTCACTCTTCTATCGGAGTTTTCTTATTTCTGTTGCCTCGATTCCTCTTCCTTCTAGTGTTGTTGATGCACTAGCATAACCTCAATGGTGTGATGCTATAACAGAAGAACTACAAGCACTTGAGAAAAATCATACTTGGGACATGGTTCCGCTTCCTATTGAACGAAAGGATGTGTGTTGTTGTTGGGTGTTTACAGTTAAGCATAATCCAGATGGGTCAGTTACTCGTTACAAGGCCCGGTTGGTTGCCAAGTGTTATGCTCAGACTTAAGGCATAGATTATCAGGAGACTTTTGCCCCTGTTGCCAAAATGAATACCATCCATGTATTATTTGCTATTGCTGCGATTCAATCTTGGCCTTCATTTCAATTAGATGCCAAGAATGTCTTTCTCAATGGTGATTTGCAAGAAGAGGTGTATATGGTTCCCCCTCCAGGCTTTCGTTATCCTGCTCATTCTGGTATGGTCTGTCGTCTTCGTCACTCCCTGTATGGCCTCAAGCAATCTCCTCGAGCTTAGTATGATCGCTTTGGCACTGCCATGCTCAAGTTTGGTTTCCATCAGAGTGCAGCTAATCACACCTTGTTCTTACGTCATTCAGGCGGTAAGACAGTTGTTCTCATTGTGTAGTCGATGATATTGTTCTTACCGGAGATGATACTGCCGGAATTACTAAGGTTAAGAGCTATCTTGGCCGTCAGTTTGAGATTAAGGATCTTGGTTCCCTTCGGTACTTCTTGGTCATTGAGGCGGCACACTCCAAGGCTGGTATTTTCATCTCTCAACGCAAGTATGTTCTTAACTTGTTTTCTGCTTTTGGTCAACTTGGCGCTCGTCCTACTGATACTCCGATTGAGTAAAATCATCAGTTGGCTAATTCTGAGGGGGAGTTGTCGGACGTTGGTCAGTAACAACGACTTGTTGGGAAGCTCATCTATTTATCCATGACTCGACCTAACATTGTTTATGCCGCGAGTGTCGTGATTCATACACGCTCCTAATACCCCTCACCTTGATGCAGCTATTCAGATCCTTCGCTACTTAAAAGGGTCTCCGGGCTGTGGTATTTTGTTTGCCAATCATGGTCACTTACGTGTCGAGGCTTGGACAAATGTTGATTATGCAGGATCCATTTCAGATAGGAAGTAAACTTCGGGCTATTATACCACCATTGGTGGCAACTTGGTTACTTGGCGCAATAAGAAGCAGGATGTTGTCTCTCGATTTAGTGCAGAGGAAGGGTATAGGACTACGGCTCTTGGGGTATGTGAGTTGCTATGGCTGAAAACCTTGATGACAGACTTGTGCCTTCCAGTGTCGCTTCCATTCTCTATTTACTACGACAACAAGTCTGTCATTAGCATAGCAGCAAATCCTGTTCAGCATGACAGGACTAAGCATATAGAGGTGGAACGTCACTTCGACCGACACTTCATTAGAGAGAAGATCATCTCTGATCAAATTTGCACTACATTTGTCACAAGCTCTCAGCAGCTTGCAAACATTCTTACAAAGGGCGTCAGCAAGATTGTATTTGAGAATGCATTGTCCAAGTTGAGCATTTCAGATATCCACGCACCAACTTGAGGGGGAGTGTTAGCAGATATGATAACCACGGTTTATGGAATGACTACTATATTGGTAGAGATTTGATTATGCTATAAAATATGTCATATGCAATAAAATATGCCATAAAATATGATATGATTTGATTTAGATTTTATTTCTTTTCTTTTCTTGTAATATGAGCTTGTGCTCTTTTTTATCTATAAATACTAGAGCTCTGAATGAGTGTTTCATCTCATTCAAGCCTTTACACAATTCTCTCATTTTCTTCTTTTTATATTTCTTCTGTGCCATTGCCAATGAGCAATAATCAGAAGTTCTAGATACCCACAGGGGCGTGGACGCGGAGTCTAAATAGTGATTTTTAGTAAACCGCCCATGCATTAGGTTCATTACCAGGATTTTGGAATTTGGGGTTGTCTCGATTCCACTTTCCTTAAATTTCTCTGTTTTTTGAAGCTATTAGGAAAACTTATGGTGGGTGTCAACTTGTGACAATATAAGTAGCTCAGTCAGTATTCCATGCCCAATAAAAATCTCGATTTCAGTTGTTTGTCATTTTTTATAACCATAAATGTGCGTAATTTTCCAATCTCAGGGAGTAGTTTTTTGGTTTCTTTTCCTTTTTCCTTTATGAGGATGGGATCTCTAGGAGTGAGTGCTCTTGAAATTGTGTTTTCCTTAGACTGCCTCAAAATCGAGAATAAGTCATGTTGGAGTTCTACTCTGGATATGTTTTTAATGGTTTAGGAAATAATCCATATTCTTGTAACCTCTAAAAGTCTAATAAGGTTCTTTGCTCTTCAGATTTTTTTAAGATGTTTTTTATTTATTTACTAAACGCAAATAATGGAGACCAAGGTTCAATCAAGATTTTTTTTTTTTTCCCCTTTTTGGTAAAGAATCAAAACCAAATTCAATAAGTTTAGCCAAGGTAGTGTAAAAATAACCAGTCCATTTCAATGTCAAGATATTTAACGAAAAGGAAAATGAGAAGCTGTGACAGGTCCAGGTGGTTCTCTGTTTCCATAAGCCTGCGTAATGTGTAACAGAAACGATCAACAACAGACTTCAAGGATTACTAAAAAGATTCAAATGGGTATGGTGGGAAAACGAAAGATTATTATCATTCAACAGCTCAACACAATATAATCCAAAGTAGAACTTCCTGAAATTTTGTTTTTTGTTTGTCCTTGTGAAGTTATCCAATTGGAAAACTTCTTTTAAAGTTACTCCTGCAAAACGATGCTTAGCATTTGTTTTTTTTACCTTCCTTGAAATTTTATAGTACCTATATTTGAAAGAGAACTTCCACCTCGCTATTAGAGAGCATGTGTTAGATAAAAGTATGGCTCTGGTTTGAGAATTATTCAGTTACAACTCAAGAATATTAGTGATTCTCTCTGTGTTTTGTTTTGGTATCTTCTTGCAACACCTGCAAATATAGTGAAGTATGATATCTCTCAAATGTAACTCTATCATTGGGTAAACATAGTTCTCAATAATGTGTGTGTGTGTGGTTAATTTCACTGCTTAACCACTTTCTTATTTAACTTGCATTTACTCTCAAAAGGAGCCTAGGATAAGATACTGAAATTCGAGATGTCTTCAAAATTACTATTTATTTCCTCCAACCCCCTTCTTCACTGAACGGTGCCAGTAGTTCCATTTATACAGTCACCGTCGGCAGTTAGAACTAATAGAAGAAAAACAAACCAACATGAGCATAAGGAAGTACCTCAATGATGGTTCCCAGGTAATCCAGGACTGCTGGGATCTTGGCTTCTGCTGAATCAGTATAAATCTGGATTCCAGAATAGCATCAGCAAGAGTAGGAGATAAAAATTTAAAATGAATTAGTAGAATTTAGTTATATTGCCAGCAGAGAGCACATTCAACATGCCTTGAACATTCTATGCACAAATGAATCTAATGAATTGTTGATAAGAGCCATTTTCTTAGAAATCAAACTTCATCAACTAAGTTCAAGCAAATAGCGTATAAGTGGACTTGCAACTTAAAAGTTTGACATTATCCATCTTAGACGTTAAATTAAACCAAAAATCCACATAAAATTTCATGGCCAACGGACAGTTGAAAGAGACATGAAGGAACATGCATGCATCATAAACAAGTAGTACTTCACAAGTACTTGCTTCATGTGGATCCGGGATTTTTTTCATGTGAATATTGACATCAACATTCTCTATCAGTACAGTTCACAGTCACTAGGAAACTTAAAATTTGATTAGATGTCTCTAACAAATTATTCTTCACAATTTTTAAATGCAAATTGAGTTGAAAGGGAACAAAATAGATGGGTTTCAACAAAAAAAAATTCAAATTAAAATATCAGCTATGATTACATTAACACTGCGTAACATCGTTTGGTAGCATGGAATTCACATGATAAAATTGGAAATTTTTTTTTTTTTTTGATAAGTCATGATAAAATTGGAAATTGAAGGGGAAAATGGTTTGAATTAATGTATTCCTTGATTCCAATTAAGTGTGGATTCCTTGCTACCAACGAAACATAAGGAATTTTAGAGCAATGGCTCGTGGCTACTTATTTAGGTTCATACTGACCAACAATCCCTCCATTCCAATCATGTAACAACATGACGTGCAAACTTCATGGAGGTAATGTTCAGTAGAAGTTATTTATTAACAACTTAGAGCGGTAATAATGTATTTTTTTCCTGGGTGCAATAATGGTGTTACTTGTGAACTGACAAGCTTAACACAACCAACTGCCAAAACTTCTTTTCATGATGCAAACCTCACAATAGTAATTACTTTCTGTATGTCGAAGTACGATATATATAGGATATGTTAATAGCTTCATGCACACACATCTAGATAATTTATTTACGTTTTATAAAAAAAAAAAAAAAAAAGGAACCAATATTCCATATAACATATAGGCCCAGCTTAGTAGCCCACGACCCAGATATGGCAAACCATTAAGGTGCTTCTACCACAATAATAAAAAAGATCCAACCAGAAGGGAACTGCTACCTCCATTCTTGCAATACCCTAGATTAGGATTGTGTTTCATTCACATTTTTCTATTATTATAGTTTATGCTCTAATAATGTGGATGATATGAGGCCTCTAAGAAAACATTTGCATTGGTGCCTTCTGAAAGACTCCCTCTGAAGGTTTGTGCAATATTCCAACATGGGGGTAATCCTATTCTATGATTGGTAAAGTCCCCCTCTCAGGCTATTCACAATTGATTACGAGATTCTAAAGCCAAAGAGGTTCATTGTTCTATCCACCACATTTAATATTAAATCAATTCCTTGATGGATTTGCGTATTTCCCATGAAATTAAAGTCGAAACCTACTGAATACAACACAAATCCACCATCTGCAACCAGGTAGGTAGCGAGGAATAGGATGAATAGTAAAGATTGCCCATAGAGTGGCAAAAATATTGAGTAAAGAACATATCCAACGAATATTAGCGGATATAAGACTGCAAACATAATCATTTCATATTGATGCAAAAATAAACCGGAGATGGCATCATGAATTTTTCGAGACATCAATCTAAAAAGTTCATTTATTACCAGAACCACCAACATATTTCAAAAAGCAATATCAGCACCAATCTTATTAGGTGAATGGATTTGCGTAGCAAAGCCCAATCATTTGGAAAGGAACCCTGTTTGAGTCAACCGCCAATCATTCATTTTTTCCCTTACATTTTTTCTAGTTCATTTTGAAAGCAACTCTGATTTCTGCTATAGTTAAATCCTTCCAAGTTTCAACCATATTTCCCAGGCCATTTGCATGTTCTCTGACCAACCATATATGTATCAAAAGGGGATAAGAGTAATGCTACATTAAACAAATCTGAGTCTCTAAGTTGACAAGAAATATCTTTTTCAAGCAAGCACTATTAAAATGCAAAAGTAATATAGTAGATATTTAAAACTTGTGCGTGGAACTTACATGCATACCTTATTAATTAGATTCTTTTCAGAAAACTTGAGCGTTTCAGCTTCCTCCTTTGATTTGCTGGCCTTAATTTTGATTTTCACCACCTCCAACTATAAATAAGACATTACTAAGAAGCGCTTTTTAATCAGAAGAGAAATTGCAGTTTCCACAGTTCTTTAAAAGAAAGCATGCAGTGCAACTTCTAAATACCATGCATATTTTGATCTTGGATAGAATTAGGATTTCGAAACTTAAATAAATAAGATAAAATAAAAACATATAATAAACAAAAGCAGTTGGGACGTGATAAAGTCATATTCATTGGAAGCAAAGGTAGAAAACCAACCAGAACAGCCGAATCCCATCTACGGACAAGGTAGCAAGGAAATTTGGGACCCATCTAAGAATCGCAGACACTAAGAAGATGAAATTCTGTGGGGTCAGACATGTGTGCAGCATTTCTTGGATGTGTTTTAAAAAGAAAATTCTAAATTTTGAGGCATGGCGATAGCTCTTGAACATGTGCTAATAATGCAATCAACGAAGCTTGAATGCTGAAAAAGACTTTCTTTTAACATGAAAACAAAGTATAATTGTTAGAAATATCAAATTAAAGGTTCACTGTTACCATAAAATGTATATAATTTTGACCACATTTAGAATGTTTGACCAAATTAAAAATCGTATTATATACAATAAGAAAAGGAATGTTTGTTTAAGGAGTGGACATGCAAATAGGAGAGGTCATCAAATTGTGTTCATATGTGTATTACATATACAGTCTGCATACAGACACACACACACACACACACACACACATATATATATATTATGTTTATGTCATTGTCTGTGCGACATGTGATTATAATTATATGACAAATGAATTACAAATTTCATGGTACAATCACATAAAAAATTATTGTATATAACACGATTTTTAATTAAAAGAATATATTGTATTGTTGTGACCTACCATTTCAGTGTCCTAATTTTTTTTTTTTAAATCACCACATCATCTGTCAGTGCAATGTCTGTATTCCCTTTTTATATCCATGCTACTTAAGGACCCACTGTAAGAAGTCCAAAACCTCAGTCGGAACAAGTCTAAATTCTCTACCAGGCTGCAAGAAGACCAACTTGATAGTCATTATTGGTAGCCCCGGAAAAAATAATATACATCACAATGTCTACGTAAGTATATTGGGTGGCATGTGATCAGTGCAGATTCTGCTGAACTAATTCCACGATATGATTACCGGTCGTACATATAATAAGGCTTAGAATGTGACCATTCCACTGGAGGTGCTTGCCAAAACCACTATAGATGCATCTCTTAGCACTTCATGGTTATTTAATCTCAGCTTTCCGCCTTTCCCAGATACCATTACAAACATAACCAAAGACAATCAAATGAGAAATAAAGAAACTCAGATCACCTCACGAAACAAAGCATTGATCTGTCTCATGTCCTTTTCCGCCAACTCCAAGAAAACCTATGAATAAGTAAAATAATTATATGGAGCACAAGGACAAATAACAAAGCTTTTATTTTTACAACATTTGTATCAATGTTCAAAATTGATGGAAATTACGACAATATTAGGTCCAAGCCCCTCAGAACTTATCCAAATTATTTTGAAAATGCCAGTCCAGCTGCACTAAGACACTCATTAAACCTTAAAAGTAACCTTTTGCATCGAAAAACACCCAGCAATGTTACTGTTAATTGCTTTTGGAGCAATATGATGCATATATCTACATATGTTACGACGCAGCCAGGCATAATCGGTGGAAGTACTCCTCGCTTAAGCAAAGAACAGCCATGTACCTGTTGCCTGCGCTTCACTGGTAGCTCAGAAAGAACGTCCTTCTTGAGTCTGCGGATCATCATCGTTGCTTTCATCAAGTTGTGAAGCTCTTCGTGATTGCTTGCACCTTGATACATTCCAAATACACCCTGTAACATATCACTGTAAGTAACAAAATCATTCACTATCTGGTGTAATAGCCACAATTCAAGATCTTAAAATAGGCTTTTAATGGAATGGTAATTCAAACTTACACCCTTGCAATATCGGGTACCATATTCATGAACATTCTTATATACACCAGGATACAAAGCTTCCAGCTGTCAAGCAAACACAGTTCGGTAAAAATGAGCATATAATAATATGCACATATATTGAGGCATGCAGAGCCATTACCCAACCCATAGATTCTAAACTCACACCCAGAAGTACCTGTTTGTGTAATTCAATTGGTCGTGATAAAGCAGGAGTTCCACTGAGCAAAATTACATATTGAGCTTTCTGAAAAAGGAAATTTGTAAGCTTGATGTTCCTGGAAGAGAGAGAGAGAGAGAGAGAGAGAGAGAGAGAAACCTGTAATACAGGAAGGGAAGCACTTGTTCGCTTTGCTTGGGCATTCTTCAAGAAATGCGACTCATCTGCAATCACAACCTGAATAAACATATTATCATTTATAAAAGTAAAAAACAAAGTAGCTATAGAAGCCACAATATTCAGATCAAGGTACTGAAATTAATTGGACATGATTTTATGAAGTGTGCGTGTGCACACAGATTTTGTGAAAGTAATTTCTGAATAGCAATTACACGTACTATCAATATATGTACATATTATGTCAAGTAATACTTGATGCCTAATAATATAGGTTGAACAATACTAAAACATGCACATACCACAACAAATGTTAAATAAAATAATACTACTTCGAATAAGTCTTCTAAGTTCCACATCTCCTTCTGGGGTTGATTTATCAATAGCATAAGAGAAGTGATCTTGTGTCAAATGACCCATTGATCCTATAAGTAACTGAAGTAGCAAAAAGATGGCGGAAGGCCTTCAAAACATTTCTAACCAGAGCAAGCAAGACCGTAAGAGAATCATGTAATTTTCTTTGTTTAATGTTACTTTGCAGGTATATTTTTTTGCGATTCTGCACCCAGCTGAAGAAGGCAATCTGGCACCTGTACCCCCTTTTTATTCCCCATCCCAGATCACAGCTGGTATTTCCCATTTTTGTGGAGCATAGAAAATGAGCCATAGAGAATGACTTCATAGGTGCTTTGAATATTAATTATGAGCAATAAACTATAGAGAAAAATATTTGCAACGCAAAGATTTATATAAGCGCATCTTAACCTATACCATTCAAACTTGTGATAAGAATAACACACCGTAGGACCTAATTAACTTCTTCAGGTAATAACATATTAGAGCTGCCGATATAACATGGTAATTGCCCCTGCCAATACTGGAAGTATATAGAAGGTTTGTACCGCAAATTACCAGGGGTCTAGCCACTAGACTAAGCAACTCTTACATGCAAAATTGGCACTACTGCACAAAAATGATCACGTGCTAATTTATCGTCTCCCTCACAATCGGAATTCAGGTTTTGAAATAAAGTAACTAAATGGGAGCTTAACACTGCCCCTGATATTGTCGAAGATGCTGAGTCTGCTGACAGTACCATGCAGGAATGCGGCTCCTCACCTTGACCCACAGTGGCTCAGCCCAAACCTATAGCTAGAGCAGTGGTTCAACCGATGTCAATACCAGATCCTGCTTGTCAACTGCTCAGCCTGGAGCTCATTCTTGATCCAGCTCAGCAGTAATTCAACCAAGATCCCAACCTCACCTGTGATTTTGCCCCACCGTGATTTTGCCCACTATATCTAGTTCTGCAGCAGTCCAGCTTGATCCATCAAAGACAACTCCGGCAAGCATGGTAAGCCTGATTCTCCACTCTCCAAGCACATTTTGGAATAGGTTGGTTTGCAAGGCAAAAGCCCAACTGAAACCAAAACTTCAAAAACACCTAGATATTTCTTCTAAAAGGTTTTTCTCAACGGAGTCAAGACTTAGTAGGGCAAACTCTAAACAAAAATTAACCTTCCATTCTGTAAAAACCTGGTCAGGTAAACTTTGGACGCAACAGCTCACTGAAGTTGCTATTTTAAACAATGTGTTCTTCATTTTCAATTTTATCAAAGGACACTCATTGAAAAAAAAAAAAATTGAACTCATAAGCACTGGAAACCAGTAATACACTTACCTAAATGCAACTCCACTAGTGTCATGGTTTAGGTTAATCTATATAATGCCAGATTGGAATTATGGACCAAAAGTGGCCATGTGTATCATTGATTCATATCAAGCTCCATTTAGAAAATATTAAGACATATGCTTATCAAAACAAAAAATAAAAGAAAATAAAAAAAATACTAAGACACATATTAATAGTGGCTGACATGTTTCTAGGTATTTCAGAGGAACATCGTGTCCAACATCAAATCGGAAAAGGACACAGCTCCTTCCTAAGTTTTGTCAATATGCTCCATAAAGATTTGAGGTTCATTGGTACAATGCAATAGAGACAACACAAGTTGAATGCATTAAAATCCATAGAATTTTCGCACCTAAACCTACTACCAATCCGTCAATAGCCACTTTCTATCACTGAGATACTATGAAACAATGAGAGATTAAATTTAATATAGTCTAATTCTCATTCTCCACCCATGTTCAGTATCCCAACTTCTCTGGAGGATCTCCGTACAAGTTAGAATCTGATGTTAAACAACAAACTAGCACTTAAAACAATCAAATATCGAATATGAACAATATAAATTATATAATGAGTCAGTAAACCCCCATTCAACCACCATCAATGTTTCAAACTCAGCAAAGTCCATTACAAACAGAAATGCTCAGGAAAATATGAAATTCAGAGTACCAAGATAGAAAATATGGCACAAAAATAGATATTCAAACTATTAGCCATTTTACCTTAAATTCTAACGCCATTAGAAGGTCCTGTAACTTAGGGACAAGATCATACGATAAAATGTTGAATGTGCCATCAAGACGGATGGTCCCCTTGGTGTTTGATGGTACAACCTTGAATCCACCCCTGTTTGACCCACCACATTGAGATAAAACCACCTGTTATACAGCCTCATTAGAATCAAAAATTGAAATTGTGAATATCAGAAACATTTCTCTAATAAAAATCTGTATCCATGTATTTACAGTGAAGGCATCTGATTACTGAAGTCCATTAGGTTTGCATGTAGGTAGCACTTTTTATGCTTCAAAGACAACCACCAATATTTTTTTTTTTTTTTTTCCTTCTGAAAGCATGATAAGTAATTCATGAATATTCACCTGATAATCCTTATAACGATTACAACAACATTTGATCCAATAAATAAATAGCAATGCTAATAATATTAGTGGCACCGCAATTATGTGTGCGATTGCCTTCTCTGGCTTGTACTCATGCCTCAAAGCTATTCAGGACTTCAAAAAGTCCATAATGCGACCATTTGCTGAATTATTTCAACCAATCTGATAGAATACTAGGAAATGGTTTGAAGTTTGGAAATTTATAACCAACATAACTATATATTGTTGACTCCCAGGGAAAAAGAAGTATGTAAACAACAATGCCTAATATTCATCACAACTATGAAAGAGAAAAGTTGCAAAACTTGAAGAAGGCCTATAGAAAACATACAAGTATATCTGATGAAGGTATATTCAGCCATTGTTGAATCATCTGTGAACAAAGCAGAAAAAGTGTCTGAATTTTGGGCATAACTCTTCATGTGAGCACAGAGATATTTGTAAAGAATGCGACTTACAGAAGCCCAATGCAACCTCAGGGAAGATGGGGTAAGAATAAGAACTGGCCATGAGTCACGAACACAAGTGGTTACTGCAATAGCCTGCACGTGCAATAAAGAATTCAACAACCATGCTTAAATTGTGCCATCTCTCGCAAATTATAACCAAAGAACGTCCAAAGTAAGTGCTTTACGAACTGTGTTCACAAAAGCTACTGTCACTTTTAACATTAAAGGTTGTAAAATTAAATTGAAACTCAAACCAGGTCAAATTCGTTTAAAAATACATCCTATCCATGGCTGAGCAACCAAGTCACTGAACTCCAGTCTCCATTCTATCAGTACACTACATGTTGCCTATTTCTCTTCCAGAAAAGTCTCAATCCAACTACACTACATACTGATAAAACAAGAATTATTAAATCTTACACATCGAACCAACCACTTCCCACAAATCATCAAACATTTCCGAGAATTTCAGAAACATTATGACCAATTATTGTTATGAAGCAAATTGTAGGAGAACTCAAAAGCCGTAATGCACATGCAAAAAGATTGTTGAGCTTTGCATATTCGTTATTGAAACGAAGATTTAGATTAACTTCAAGTAAAGGATCCATTGCCTGAAGAGTCTTTCCCAGTCCCATTTCATCTGCTAGGAGGACACGCCCACCATGTTGCAAGATAAACCTGAAAGGAACAATACTATCAAAAGAAAAATTTTGAAGTACTTATAAATAATAACACTATCAATAGTTTAACAGCAAGAAGGAATAGAACAACAGTAAGGTTGCTCCATTGCGACCTGGAGGTCACGGGTCCGAAATCGGAAACAGCCTCTCCATGCGGAGGTAAGGCTGTGTACATCTAACCCTTCCCAAACCCCACAATGGCGGGAGCCTCGTGCACTGGGCTAGCCAAGGAATAGAACAACGGTGTTTGAAAAATAAAACAGTGATTGATACGCTTTATTAGACTATAAATACAAGGGAAAATCTCCACATTATTTAAAATTATGTCATTACATACCTAACACCATCACGCTGAAATGAAAGGAGCTTTGATTCAATATTATTTGGGATCCTGTCATATCGATCTAGTAAAAAAAACAAGGAAAAATATGTTTACTTGAGTATAGGAATATAAGAAGACACGTGTCATGCATGTTATGAAAAATGTAACGAACCCAAGTTGAATCAAGAATCGCGACAGAAAAGTAAACACGCCACACAAAGAACACAAAGATTTATGTGTGGTTCGGCAACAGCTTATGTCCACGGTTGGGATTCGGCGAAAGTTTTCACCATGTGTAAAATCGGAGATTACAAGTTTTCAGCCCCTCACTCAGTTTCTGTACAAATTTCAGAGTCGCTCTCTTACCCCACTCCAAACCCTAAGCGCCCTTATATATTGGGCTACAAGAGACAAATTAGGGTCCACGACCCATGAGCAAAAAACGGGTCAAAATCTTTCCTCGTCTACGGGTCATAAGCGGGTCACAACGCGACCCGACACCAAATTCGGGCCACAATATCACAATGCAAATATAGACAGAGAAACTCACATAAAGAAACACACACCAACATGCACATAAATTCTACAAATGCTTCAAATGTAAAGTGAGTGGGTGGGAGGGAAGTATGAAATAGCCATTTGGCACATAATAATATAAAATCCCATAGCTAACATAGGAAAATACATTTACTTGTAAAGTGTTGTTTGACTCAAGTTATAACCCTAGAAATATCAGAATGGTGAAAACGATTCAAATAACTGACTCTAAATAACTGGAACAAGGCTTTGTTGAACTAATTTCAATATGTCAGGGAACAGCCATATTTTTCCGTCATAGGATTAGTGCAAGAATGCAAACCAAAAGAAACACACACAACAAAAGCATGGCAAAGAGAAAAGGCTCCAAACAGAGATACTGATGTTCTTTTTTTGTTCTACATGTCTGCACATCTCTACTTTAAAAAATAAAGCTTTCTGCCACATTGATAAATAGTCAACATGTTCTCACAAAACTGTACATGCTATAAAAAGAAGAATACTTCGCGCAGTCAAAGCAAAATGGTTGGCCAACACATGCATAACAGACCTAAAACTCAAGTAGACTGCAGCAGTGCACATTTGACATTTACCTCGAAGATCTGGAACAGAAGAGGCAGCAGCAATAGCACGACGCACCAAAGGATCTAAATTCTCTACCTAGCAGGTTATGAAAACCAAAGAGAAAAAAAAAAAAAAAAAAGGATGAAACGAAGTTGGAAAAACTTTCCTAGAGACTACAAGCATCAATAATCTATTCCAAGAGAAAATGGACAAGTTCCAACATATCATAATTGCTAGTTTTGCCACAAGAAAAAGGCATGCATAACAAAAAAGCACTTGAAGCCGAACATTGATACATAATTATGACAATAAGTTTGAATATCATAAAGAAAAATAATGCAGCTTTCAACCTCAACATTAGAACCAGATAGTTCACTGAGAAGTTTTTCTGCTGATGACAGAGATGACACAGGGAACATCCACAACCTGCAGATTAATTAAAACAGAATGCTGTACTCTCAGACTGGCTCCAGTAGAAGTAAAAATCAAACAACTAACCCTCGTGTTTCTGAGAAAATAGATACTAGAGAGAGAGAGAGAGAGACCTTTCTTTCGCATTCCAACTAGCTTTAGGAATCTTGCGGAAAGCTCCTAAAACTACCTGGTGGAAGAGAAAGGCATATTAATAAGTAAAACAGTACAAATAAAGTTTTAAAAAGAATAAATGTGTGTGTATATATATATATATATATAAACAGTTTGAAAGCACCTAGAATGAGTACCTGGTCATAAGAAAATTTGGCAGCAATATTCCCACTAGCATGTAGAAAAAATTTGACAGAGAGCTTCGGTTGTTCCTTTGAAGAATCATCTTCTTGTGCAACATATACAGATAGTAAAAATAAGATAAGGTCTAAAGGGTGCGCTCCCCTTTTGAGCGCTTTTTATTCATTTCTTACTTATCAAAAAAAAAAAAAAAATTGATAAGGTCTAAAGGGTGAGTAAAGAATGGGAGGGAACTTACCAGTTATTTTGGGCACCGGAGATGCAGGTAGTGTTCTAGATGCATCCGGCAAAGCATCTACCTGATTTGTTAAATTGAGCATTAAGAAAAAAGTTGGTACCGAGTTGGAAACACACCACATGAATGATAATTTAGCCAATGTTTCTATTGATGTGCAATACTCACTTAGGACCATCACATTCAAAGTAACTATGGGACAGCATTTTCATTCGATGCAATGAGTTACTCATTATGTTTTCAATTTGATAAACATAAAAACCCACATATCTCTCGCAGCAGGAAAAATAGTAAATAAAAAATCCAAGAGCAACAAAAAAACAACTATCTCAAACTAAGGAGCTGTCAATTTCAACTACACATCTCTGAAATGTATAATATAAACAAAATCAGGCAGCATTAGGGTTCAGTGCTAAATTGAATCCCATATGATGGCTGAAGTAGAATTTGAAGTGGTAATTAAAAATTCACAAGCAGCAACAAAAGCTCTCATTTGCATTAGGGTTCAGTGCTAAATAACGCTTGTGTGTGGTTTTGTGTATATACACACACATTTGAATGTTAAAACCCTATGAAATGGAATTTACAGAGTAAGGTTTAACCTATAAACAAAAGAACATAGAGAAACTGAAAAGGCAAAATAAAAGATACATATACATATATATATATATAGAGAGAGAGAGAGAGGTGACCGTGTTGTTATGATGATAGTCGGCGATGGGTTTGGCGGGTGATTGTTGAGGGCGAGGGTTAAGGCGAGTGGAAGAGGAAGACGAAGTAGTAGCAGAAGAGGAATTGCGGAGAGCGATTTGGTTGAGAGCGTCTCTTTCGAGGGAATCGAGTTCTTCTGCACTCAATTCCCAATCATCCAATTCCATTTGTCTCTTTCTTTCACCCTCTTCTGTGCTCTTCTCTTCTCCTAATGTTTGTTTTCCCTCTTCGCCCCTTTCTTTTTTATTTGATTTGAACTAAAACCCCGAGCCAAGAGAAGAATAAAAATAGGTATTGGAGGCAGATTTGCAATTTCATATTTTATACTTTCCCCCCAACAGTTTCTACCAATTACAGTGGTGTACTCTATAGTTCAAAATGACCATTATAATCTATTTCTTAGGTAGTTGTCTAATTCACGCCCTGTTTGACATGCGTTTTGTTTATGTTGTTTTTGTTTTTGGGCTGCGATTTTACCAACAAAAGCATATTTTAGCGCGATCTCGTTTTATTTTACAGAATGCTACAACAATTCGTGAACAGTAGCCCAAAACTAAAAAGTTATTTTTTCTTATTTTGACAACTGTTTATAGCCAAAAACCATAACAGTAGCACGAGCTAAAAACAAAATACCTAAAATATCGTTCCTAAATGTGCTTTCGATTTTTTTTCAAAACAAATAAAACGCATACCAAACAGGCCCTTAGTATAAGGTGCAATTCCTGCAGGTTGGGCAAATTAAGGATATTTATATTATACTCAAGTTATAAAAACAACCTAATTAGTTCAAGCTTGACCTGCTCATATGTATTTCGTCATTACGGGCATTTGGAATATTTTGGCAAATTCCTCTCTATTCAAATGAATGGCAGAACAATAGCCATGCCAATAAGAAGAAGAAGTGGTATGAATTGATCTGTAATAAAGGGAGGCCAACAGCTTGCTGATTGGTTTTTTTTCAAAAGAGAGGTATCACTCTATATGAAGACTCTGTTGACCATTTATTTTTCCAAGTGTGGTTTTGATCAAGAACTATGTGTTTGGATCTTTGAAAGCCATTTAGTTAAAAGGAAAAAAATTTATAAAATATGTTGCAAGCGAGCAATGTTTTTAGGCCCAAAAGAGTATATGCACCAGCCGGGAATCGAACCCGGGTCTGTACCGTGGCAGGGTACTATTCTACCACTAGACCACTGGTGCTTGTGATCCCTTGATCATTATGAATTTATGATCTTTATCAAGCTTTCCTGCAAAACCAAACAAAATAAAAATTGCTTATTCTATGTCCATTCCATATGAAGACAGTATTGAAGATATAAATATATATCACACGTGTATATGCAAAGAGAGAGATATGGTATGACAATAGATACAACAAGATCAGCTAACTTGAGTTGGGTTCTAAGTTAATTTGGGTCCAAGCTAACACATATGTTTCAGGAACATATTATTTATATGTATGTATGCGAGGGAGATGGAGATATTGGATCCCCCTATTGAACACCAGGTATATACATATTTATGTGTGGAGTGTAATATTTAACATTATACATGTGTCAATGTTTAATTCGGCCACGTTAGCTATCAGCAAGAACTTCCTCCTAGTAGCAGGAGCCCGGATGCAAGTACGGTCCTTAACCCAAAATAAAAAAAAATAAAAAAAAATAAGGGAGAACTCAAATAACTACATCATTAATTTTAAGGAGAAAAAAAAAAAGAAGAAGAAGAAGAAGAAGAAGAGAAAACTGCGAAGGTGAACTTGCTTAATAAATAACTGTTGAAGGACTTTCATATATATATATATATATATATATATATTTCTAAATTTGGACTTATGCATTGAAATCTACACAAGCACACACCCACAAAAATATTGGGCCGAGCCTTAGTTAGGATTTACAAAAGGCAGGCCTATGCCAATTCTAAAGGCCCAGGCCCAACAAAACCACATATTTAAGAGACTCTGACCGTTTTTTTTTTTTGTTAAAAGGGTAACTCTCTCTCTCTCTCTCTCTCTCTCTCTCTCTCACTACATCATATGTTTATCTCGAGTTAATGTAGTTTATATAATATGCCCATACTAAGGGATATATTAAGGGTCTTTTTTGGTATGCATTTAGTTTTTATGTTTTTGTCAGGTAAGCAATCAACAGTGAAAAAATACGTGTTTGGTAAAAAATATTTTGTCTGTAGTCATGAATAGTAAAAAATAATTTTTAAAAAAAAAAAAAAAAAAATTCTTAAATGACATTTTTAAACTAACCATTATATTTTTCAAAAATATTGTTTTATTTTTTTTACCAAACATGTTTTTGTTTTAAAAAATCTTACAACAAATGGATGTTACCAAACATGCATTCAATTACTGTTCAAATCATTATACAATAAAACACTTATTTTTGTTTCGAGTTAAAACAAAAAGTCAAAAACAAAACGCGAACCAAACCGGACTATAAACTCCAATGCAATACAGTCCCACAATCGGATGCATCCAACTAATTTTATGTCATCATGACATTAGGGATATTAATGACATTATATTAATACCCCATAAATATTACTAATTTATAAATATTAGTAATATTTAACAATACCTTTTATATTGACCCAAAATAGAGAGTTTGAAAATAAATTTAGTTTGCTTCTCCTTAAAATTTAAGAATTTTTCAACTTAAAGCTCTTTTAACTAAATTTTTAAAAGGTCAAATATTGTGAAACAAAAATTTAAGCTCATTATTATTATAGTCGTTATTGCTTATTTACATGTACAATATATGTAATATTAGAAGAGAGAGGGAAAAAAGAATTAAATCATTAATGTTCCCTCATGTTTAATAAAAATGGGTGAAGCATTTTTTGTCAAATATTTTTGTAAAATGGTGTTTAAAAAAATATATCTAGAATTATATAACAATTTTTATTGGCGAGTCGTAAGAATATTTGAATGAAATATAAACTAAAGTATTGTGAGACTGATAACAACAATAATATCATATATGTTAATATTTAATTTTTAATTGTCACTTGCTAAATGACAAATTTTATAACTATATGTATCTTGTTTAATAACTCAATTTCTGTCATTGGTCCAAGCCATATGGAGCTCTCATGTCCATGGTCACACCATGTTTCAAGTTACAACCAAACTTAAACACCTTAAACAAGCCCTCAAACTGGAATTCTCCAAAAATATCAGCACCATACAAGGAGAGGTCAAGTCAGCTAAAGATGAATTATCCAACTACCAATCTGCCCTTGATAAAGCTCCAAATAATCCTACCCTGGGAGTCCAAGAAAAACAGCTTATTCTCTACTACTCCGGTCTTAGGGAAGCTAAAGAAGCCACCTACAAGCAGAAATCCAGGGTGTTATGGCTAAAAGAGGGTGATTCTAACTCTTCCTTCTTTTATAAATCACTCTCTTTAAGATACAACTGGAACAAGGTGACTTCCATCCTCTCCCCAGCTAGCATCCTCCTTGACACTGAATTGGCAATCAAATAAGAAGTTGTCTCCCACTTCCAGAATCTTCTTGGCATGAACCTTCATCCATACCCAGGTATGTCCTCCCTCATTCCATTCTCACTATCCCAGCTACCATCCCACCTTGTCACTTCACTTTGCTCCATTCCAAGTGATGAGGAAATACAGCAATGTGTTTTCTCCCTCAATAGTGACAAGACACTTGAACCTGATGGTTACAATGCCTTTTTTTTTTAAGAAAACTTGGTCTGTTATTGGGAAGGATGTCACCTTAGCTATCAAAGAATTAATTTTTTGTCAATGGGAAACTACTTAAGGAAGTCAACTCAACATCCATATCATTGGTACCAAAAATTCCCAACCCATCATCCATGAATGACTTCAAGCCAATATCCTGCTGCTCCACCTTATACAAGTGTATATCAAAGTTTCTAGACAACAAAATTAAACCCATTCTCCCCCAAATAATAGACCCTAGCCAATCAGCATTCATTCAAGGCAGAGTTATTGATGATAACATCCTCATGGCCTAAGAACTTTTCACTGGTTACCAAAGACAAATGAACTCACCTAGATGTGCTCTCAAAGTTGACATAAGGAAAGCCTTTGATTCCGTCTCATGGGACTTCCTCTTTGATACCTTAAAACATTTTGGCTTCCCACCATTATTTATTTCATGGATCCAAGCTTGCATCACCACACCATCTTTCACCATTTCTCTTAATGGAGAATTCACTGGTTACTTCAAGAGTATTAAGGGCCTCAGGCAAGGGGACCCTTGTCACCATTTATGTTTGTCTTGGTATAATGCAAGTTTTTCCTTCAATTATTAGCAAGCTCACACAGGAAGGGCCCTTTAAATTCTATTAGAGGTGCAAAGAGCTTTCACTTACCCATCTTATCTTTGCAGATGACTTGTTGCTTTTTTCACATGGTAGCCTTCCCTAAATCAAAACACTCAAGCTTGCTCTAGATACATTTTCAGTGATAGCAGGCTTACATATCAACCAGTCCAAAAGTAACATCTTCTTCTCAAGGGTTAGCACTACTGTTGAGCAAAGCAAAATATCCTTCCTTTATTTTGAGAAATGAGAGCTACCTGTGAAGTATTTGGGTGTCCCTTTCATCACTTCTATGTTGAGAGCTACTGACTGCAGAACCTTAGTTGACAAGGTTACATCAAGAATAACTCATTGGACTAGCAGGTTCTTATCCTTTGCAGGGAGACTACAGCTTATTGGGGCTATTTTGTTTTCTACCCAAATGTATTGGAGTTCAAAATTTATCCTACCATCAGGCATCATCAATGAGCTAATGAGCATCTTTAATACCTTTCTGTGGTCTGGACCATCTCTTAAAAGAACTGGAACCAAAGTTGCTTGGAGGTTCTGTTGCCTCCCTAAAAGAGCTGGTGGTTTAAGGTTGCCAAACTTACATATCTGGGATAGGGTTGCTGTCATGAAGCACCTCTGGCATCTTGCTAGATCAAAGGACATGCTTTAGGTCTAATGGGTACACACCTATCTGCTCAAGGGAAATAATATTTGCACTATAACAAATTAGAGTTCTTGTCACAAGACACTTCGTGGCAAAAACCTTCAAATTTCGTGGCAAAAACCTTTTAGCCACGAGAAATAGCTCGTGGCTCAGTCGTGGGCGTAGCCCCGTCACAGATTGCCAATAATCACGACTAAAATTTTTCGTGCCAAAATATGAAACGTTTGCCACAAAATTTGAACTCGTGGTAAAATATCTCATATC